TGGCCATGTGCACAAATCGTCCTATCACGACAACAGTAGTGGCACTAGAAAATACATTCATTTGAAAAACAATGTGGGGAAAAATTATTATACAGATAAAAAAATCGTAACTCATGCATCAAACCAGTCGGTAAGAATCTTCCGTGACTTGATAGAGTCGGCTGTCCTGGACAAGACCCTCGAGGATTCTTTTTAGAGCAGCCTTCGAGAGGCCAGCATACCGACGGTCGACGCCACTTGCACGCACCTTCGTCAAGATTAAATCGAAGGAGGCACCAAGTCGATGAACGTCGTAGGAAGCATCCGGATTGGCTAAAGTGTAAAAAACAGCGAACGCTCGCAAAGTCTGTAGGATATTCAGACAAAGTAATAAAGGTAAGTGGGCTTAGGGATAGGGAAACTACCATAAGAGCTTTGCAGATTAAAACCAATGGCGCGATGGGGAATCGTGATGGGAGCCAACGATAGAAATTAAACCTCCAGCTTTGTGATTCGGCTTATGCTGCTTTAGGACTGAAAGTCAACGTTCGTGGTCAACCTTATCACCCAGATCGCGTAAAGCACCATCCTAAGACATGCGAGGTTAAAATCCTAAAAAAGGGACAAGGAAATTTACTAGGAGAGAGTACAGACGAAGATCGGGCGCGATAAGGGGGGAGGGTAGCTGCTGGATGGCGATAATCATCGGGTCGGCAAGTTTTAGAACAAGGTCCAAGGCCGTTTGGTCGGTTAGTTCGCTGCTTTGCATGCAAGGGGACACACGTGCTGCGCTTACGTAGTCAACATCCGAATAACTCTAGCTCAACAGACGCGAGTCCATCAACTACTTAACAAAATTCACGCGCACTACACGTGAATTAGCGCAGGCACTCGTACGCGCCTATGTACAGGCCCGAGTCGTACCTACCTAGTATCAGAGTAAAGACTCATAAACGGGCCAACTATCGAGTTAACGGGTTCTGGTCACTACTCGTCCGGAAGTGATGGTCAGAAAAAGTAGGCTAGAAGTGTAATTGGTAAAGCGGCAAATCAAGTTGTGTGATGCAAATTAGCAGGGTTCTAAGGTTATTACCGTCACAGCTATTGGGCGGAAAATGGGTTCCCTCGGCATTACTGGTCGTCTACAAGTCCAACCACAGTTTGTGTGACGGGTTGGTGGGGGATGGTTTCCTGAATCCAAAAGTAGACGTATTTAGCCCCTCTTCCGGTACAGAATTTTAGGGTCCCACCATTGTACCGGATGAGAGGCGAAGCCTTTTTTGATGAAAAGTAACAGGTCTGGCTGGGCATTGGCCTTGCAAATCGGGAACTGGGTGGCGGCTACCAGTAAGAGCGCGTAGCATGCTTCTAAACTTCACGAAATGTACAGATTTGTCATGCAGGCAGACTGGGGGGACTTTCTCGGCGGATCGATGCTGCAATGCGTAGGGCAGAAGGCGGAGTACTGTTATAGGAATCCGACTCCGTCAGAACGACATTCTCGTACTTCTGACAAGATGACTCGAACCAGTGTCGTCGTCAGAAGGATCGGACAATGATAGAACGGCAAAACACATGCTTTCTACTGTGCAAACAGAAACTCCTATAATTCCGCAGCCGTCTGAATATTTGCATGCTGCTTGGTGTTCTGAGTAGATGCTCGCGGGAATCGGTAGAAATGGGTCACTTCAATTCTGCACGGTGGGCGGAGTTTCCAGCCCTACCATTTAAATTGAAGACGGTATATGAAGCACTTGCGGGGGAAATCAGTACACACCTGAATGCCTTTCATCGTCAAATCTACTAACTACAAGGCAATGTCGCGATAACGGATGCGGTACATCGTCGCCCCTGCTATCTAACTTACCGAATATGAGGTTCCGTACATTTCAACAAGAAAATACCCGACAAAGATTGCCTGTTTCTCTGGCTGCCTGTTAATGATAAAAACGTGTTTGTAGCAACTAGCAAGGATTGTGTAACTGAATTCAGTAACAAAAAACAAACCGAAACCTACCGTCAATGCGTTTGGTTGCCTCTGCGATTGCCTGATAAACGCGTTGTACTGCGACCGGGTCGCGAAGCGTGTACTGTAGAAAAAAAATAGTTTAGAAGGGGAAGTGTATGAAAATACTTTTGACAAAACAGTTTGGTACTCAAAAATGTGTTCATTTACACGACACCATTCGAAGACTACTGACAAAGCCAATCGAAAATAAGGTGGTTCCGTAATAA